ATATCATGTCGAGAAAAATTATTTTCATAAGTTTCATTGCTCATTGTGAGTGAGTCAGCCTTTTTCGGGAGGAAAGCCTTAAGTGATGCAGGCCTCAGACGTTTACCACTTTGGTAATACACACGAGCACTGGTATGGTGCTGACAAATCTAGAAACATAATCGGGGCGAACCGGGATTCGAACCCACAATCATAGGTTTCTGGCGTGCCCAAAGGCATAGCGAATCGCAGCGCCTTAGACGACTGGGCCACCCGTACCCTCCACTGAAATCAAAATCGGGGCACCATGTTATAATTCCCGAAGATGCTTAAATATCAGTTCATGGAAGATTTACATGTACTTATCAGTTCTAAGAAATATACGTCTAATTGATTTAAATTTCTCAATCAAATCTAGTTATAATCGGTCTGATAAATCCTTTGTAAATATATGCATGCATATCCCAGCGCTTTCCTCTAATACACGAAACCAGCTCTCCCCTAAGTTTATTTCAGAAGCTTCGTATAAAGTTGTGTTATTTCAATGTGGTAACTGTACATGTATGTCTTTGACTTGCAAATACCTGACTTGCATCTGCATGTGTTTGTGGTGGATACGCTCTAACCTGATATGATTCCTAAAAACATGCTTATGATATAGTCGGATTGGAATGGAAAAGAGGTAAACTATGGAAATGATTTTGTTGATTTTATTTCCATCTCAAAAAGCGTATTTTGTTACAGTGTTAATAATCATTCATGCATCAAGAACCAGTCACTGTGTAATACAAATACCTAAGAAATCAGACAGGAAGAGTGGAACACGGAGACACACATGATGGTCCACAGCGAGGGATATTTTCTCGGGACCATTAATGTACTTGTTTCCTGCTGTTCCAGAGAGTAGTTGCTGATTAAATTCACCAGCGCATCTCTATCTGATCATTCGGTAAAAAAACAATTATATATTCATGCATTTGTCAAACGAACGTGTGAAGTAAAAGGCTACAGCAGCTGTGGAGTTTTTTGTGTGACTAAACTATCCCTAAACTAAATTACTTTGCCAATAAAATTAAACTAGTTCGAATAACGATTCAGCCACTTTGACTGAACAAGGAAATACTAAAATTCAAAATAATACAAACAGCTAGACTATCACCGGAAGATTGGTTATCAACAGATTACTAGAAAAATGGAGTATTGGTAACACTAGTTACTAAGTAGCTAGGCAATCACGGGAAAGCTGGTTATCTGCGGATTACTAGAAAAACTAAGTATTACAAACCCTAGTTACTAAGTTTAGTTCAGTACAACCAGACTAAATCAGAATCAAGACAGTGTCTTGAACAATGTCCCGTAACCACTTACTAACGAAACCTGAGTTTCGAACGTGACCACCCAAGCAGCCAGACCATCGTAAGCGATTTAACAAAGCCTTGGGGTAGAGACTCAGGATCCTGACTGAAGTATATATATACTACGCGCGGACCTCAGAGCGGATAATCTCTCGTGGACAGCCGGGGAATGCAATAGTTTTGTTGATTTTATTTCCATCTCAAAAAGCGTATTTTGTTACAATGTTAATAATCGTTCACACATCAAGAACCAGTCACTGTGTACCACAAATACCTAAGAAATCAGCCAGGAAGAGTGGAACACGGAGACACACATTTATGTCCACAGCGACCCCAGCCTGTCGTGTCGCACACGTTCGTTTGACTAATACATATTTAAACATACAATGGATTTGTTTACCGAATAACACGATAGCGCCGCTCCAGTGAATATCACGCTCTACTCAACATTTAGTGTTTAACATGCAACAATTAATTCCCTGGAGCAGCTAGAAACTAATTAATGCACATCCAAATGTTTACAATAAAAATCAAAATGATATTTTGTTGATTGTTCTGTACTACTGGACGGTACAGAAATGAGTGTCAATATCAAATCGGCACAGCCTCGAGTAATCAAGGAAAGGATCTCTGAACGATCACGACATACGTTTATGTGAGGTGGGTTGAGAAGATCAGCAACCCTGGATAGTTGTTCGCGTGGATGAAGCGAATCAGAACACTTTCTCTTTGCTGCTCAGGACCAGTATCTTCCCACTCGAAACGTCAATGTGTGATTTTGCATTCAAATGTAAATATGAAATGGAGATTATGCAATGGATTTAATGAGACTGTCTAACACCGTGTCAGCGCATGGCCAGCTTTGGCACAAACACAGTATCTTAAGCGACATAGTATGCCCCTAAATAATCCTGGGAGAAGTCCCATTTACTGTCTTGGCTGCGTGTAGAGGGGGCAAGGGCCCTTAGCTGATGATCACCTGTTTGACGAGTTTGGGAGACCACATGACCTACTGGGTTTAGAATTTTCTGCAATGTAGTAATTCAGAGATTTAAAAAAATATGAATTGTAGTAATCTTGAAATACGAGTGTTTGTATGAGAAACTTGGCTGTCTGATTGCCCAGGATTTTGCTGCTGGTGTAAATGTGGAGAAATATATAAGCAATACCATATTTATACGAAATCTTGGCCAAAAGCGATTGTACGATTCCGACTATACCATGAGCATCTGTTCATGAATCACTTTTAAATATTCATCATACCGGATGTTCGCGATAAGTTGAGCATATCCTGCCTGACCTGTCGCATAAGTCACAAACACATGCACACGCAATAAATAAAAATGACAAAACCCTTTCCACATTCATCATCTCTGCAGCGTCGATTGTACGATTCCGAGTATATCATGAGCATGTGTTTATGAATCACTATCAAATAGTGAGTATACCAGGTGTCAGCTAAAAGGTGGGCATATCCTGCCCAAACGGTGGCACCCGTCATAAAACACATGCAAAGACAAGTCAATTGTTCACATGAAAAAAGCATGAAAACACATGGTACAGGTCGAAATAGGAAATTGCATCGGACACTTTTTGTCACTGATGCGTCAAATTAGGAAATGTCTTTCACATGTCTCCCATAAAACGTTTTGAAAGCTTTACTGGGGACTTGAATGTTGTAACTTTGATCAAACAAATCCTGGGCAAGAGTCGCCCTTTGAAATCTTGGTAGGAAGAGCATGCCCGATTGTATCTCAAAAGTTAAAACGTAAACACCGAAGGCTGGAGCTGCCGGAATATTGTTCGACATGAAGGGGAAGTTGACTATTGGAAAGTTGAAGTCATCCCTCTGTCATACTGCATTGTGGTGAGTGTTTTGTCATTTTGAATCTTTATGCATAAACAGATACACATCACCGATCTTGCATCTGAAATTATGACAATATTCCAATATGGTACTTTTGGTAGTGGAACATTATGATGATGAGATTGTTCTTATGGTACTGGCCACGTGGGAATTCCAGGTTGGACGCTCCCCAGCTACCTATGAAATGAAATGAAAGTAATGTTGGTCTGAAGGTACAAATGACGATGGGGGGAGACAATGAACTATTGTCACATTGCCTGAATATGTTGAACGTATTCGCGAAGTGAGAAGGGAGAAATAGATCATTGACAATAACGACGGTGTGGTAGCCTAATGATCAAAGCGTTCGCTCGTTACGCCGAGGACCCAGGTTCGATTCCCCATATGGGTACAATGTGTGAAGCTCATTTCTGATGTCCTGCACCGTGATCTTGCTGGAATATTGCTAAATGCGGCATAAAACCACACTCACTTACTCTTTAACAATATTATGTCTGTTAATATTGGTGGCTCCATCAACCAACGCCTGATAGTTGAATAAAGTTGGGGTCCAACTGACCATTCCGGTTCACACATGGCATTGGCGAGGTAAACTGTTAACTGTGCTTTCTTTGTTTGGTTCCATACTAGACAATAATTGTATTATAAAACGTAGCCAAATGTTGTTAATGTTCATATGTGTCAGTTATTCTCCATCTAGTGTATATTATTTCAAAACCAAATGTACACAAATGTTGCAGTGCCAGATTGTTGTAATAATGTATAGGACCGCCTCCGTAGTCTTGTTGTAGAACCCCTGCCGCGTCATACCAAAAGACGTTAAAAGATGGTTCTTGTTACCCTGGCTGGTGCTCGGCATTAAGGGGCTGAAACAAGGACTGGTTGGCTTGGAGTCAGTTTTCTGTGAGGTATTATGTGTGTATCTCAGTAGGCTATTAAATTGACATTAGTCTTGACTAGTACAAACAGCCACACGCACACGTGCATGAACGTCGCTACACAAGTGCAATTATCTTGAACGAGGCGGCGTTAAACCCCATTTCACCTCACCCACCTAATTATGTATATAGTATAAAATAAAATAATTACAATACAGAGCTAAATCTATTTTAGATATGTTTGTTGTGTAATGTCGCAATATTCCAGCTATATCAGGCGGCCCTCCACAAATATTATTTGTTTAGTACATATCTCAGATCTGTTTGACCCTATCAAGTTGATTTCCTTTGCCAATACACAGACTTTGATCATTTTACTGAAATTAACGTCACCACCGCTTCAGGGAATTAACGAGTAGAATAACCACAACAAGGTGTATATTAATTTGCAAGTGACACTAAATCAACAGGACTGAAGTTTAGGGAACAAATACTGAACTAATTTGTGTCAGCGTTGCAGATAATCATCTGGAGTCAAGAGCAAAACGTAAGTATCAGGCTCGCTGACTTGGTCGATGCATGTCATCGATCCTAATTGGGTTACACTCCAAACCAACCAACATGATAGGCGATGCTATCACTTTTCGATCTTTACATGGAGATCAGGGATCATGGTTTATAGCCTGGATCGCTTATGTCAAGCAATAGTCCAACACCTCCAGCCTTTAGGTTCTACATTTCACAACGTTGTGGGTACAATCAAGCATGCTCGTTCTACTACAATTTCAAAGAGCGTCATATAAAGAAATATTAATATATATTCATATCAATGGCATGAAATCGTGACAAACATATGTCAAAGGACATGACAACGTCCGTATATTTTGTCAACGACAGCCAAGTGAAGTGTTGTATACTTACGATGAATGTTGCCACGGGAGTGTCAGGACCTTGCCATAGGACACATGTAGTACTGTGATTGCCTTCAGAACGTAAACATTGTCGTTGTATACTTACGATGAATGTTGCCACGGGAGTGTCAGGACCTTGCCACAGGACACATGTAGTACTGTGATTGCCTTCAGAACGTAAACATTGTCGTTGTATACGCGTACGTCATGGTTCATTGACGTTGCTACCCGTGAAGATCCGGGTTAGAATAGATATTCAGCAATCCGTATTGATAATATACAACGGGGAAACCTATAACAATGAATCAATAATTTGGTATATTTATTCTGTTACTTCTGTTGAGAAATCGGTACGTACAGAACTGAATTGTGAAATCAGCTATGAACCATGCAAGATTCAGTGCACTCACGAACGTCCAGTATTGTAACAGTTCAATGTCTTGAATCTGGGACAAGACACAAATCAGGTCGTAACAAGAAGACCTCGTCTCGCTCTTATATCGGTACAGTCAGGGGATTGCCTAAAAGTCGGGCCAAGAAAAGTGGGGCCGGGCCAGCGGGTAATACTAAAAATGGATTGCAGAATAATAAAACGAAACGTGCATATCTAGGCAGATCTCAATTGTCCAGAAACGTATAGTTTTGCTCATTTAATTGAGTTTGATTCAAAATGCATCTTCAGCAATGTAATAAACTGATAATTATAGCTACATACCGAAAAGTCAGTGTCTTGACTGTGTCTTTTCTTTGATGAGAAGGTTTCTCACCCGACCTTAGCGTGTAGGGGTGTGATGTCCTCGGCAGGAATTCGAAATGACAGTGTTTTGACTACTTTTCTTTCATTAATTATCGTGTTTGGCATCCCTAATTAACCTTTACTAATTCATGTTAAACCAACACAGGATGTTTTCTGCAAGTGGATATTCGCGAATGTCATAGGGCCGACACGTGTTAATAACTGTCAAAGCGCTTCTAAAATTACAACACATACTTAACATCTATAGACTAGTATTATATCTACCTATGTAAAACTTTAGTGTCTCGGGAACAGCTAAGCTTAAATTTCTGGGCCGCGTCCCAATCAAACCCTCTCATCCAAAACTTAATAAACCAAAACATCAGCCCCAAAAACCAAGCTCTAGCTCGTAAACACCCCTTACTTACCCCAATATCCCAAAGAATAACAAACTACCTAAATGAACACCAAATTAAAAATCTTAAACAAAACTGCAAACAATCAAATATCTTCACCCCTAAACTTAAAATACCCAAAATAGACACAACACTAGCTAGCCAAATAAATAAACGAACCGACCCAAACATAGCTAAAACCACCACACTAGCATACATACACTAAAATTGGCCAAATTGGTGTCACATTTACACGGACGGATCTTCAGATCCGACCTCCAAACACACAGGTTTCGGAGTCCATACCACACAACCAACTAAAACCACACAATCCTTCCGACTCCCAAACAACCAATCAATATTCACGGCAGAACTAATGGGCATGGCCTGGTATTTAGGAAGATATAATACTAATCTAAAGATGTGAATCCATTTGATGATACATCTGTGAGGTTTAAGATGATTTTGACAGCCCGGGCCAAGTCGGACCGAACACTTCTGACATATATTTTCTTAAGAAAATACATAAAAAAATGCTTTACTTTGAGCCCCTTGTTTTCTTTAAATACGGTGTACCGTGACATTATGAAGTGGTATATAGGTAGATATAACACTAGTCTATAGATGTAAACACATTTGAAGATACATCTGTGTGTTTAAAGTTGATTTTGACCGCCCGGGCCAAGTCGGACCCAACACAAGCAATACACTTCTGATAGAGACTATGTTGAGAATGTAGAGGGAAAAGGGCTTCACTTTGAGCCCCTTGTTTTCTTTAAATACGATGTACCGTGACATTATAAAGTGGTATATAGGTAGATTTAATACTAATCTATAGATGTAAACACATTTGGAGATACATTTGTGTGTTTAAAGTTGATTTTGACCGCCCGGGCCAAGCCAAACACTTCTTATAGAGAATATGTTGAGAATGTAGAGGGAAAAGGGCTTCACTTTGAGCCCCTTGTTTTCTTTCAATACCGCGTTCTGAGACACTATAAAGTGGAATTTGGGTAGATATTATACTAGTTTATAGATGTGAATCCATTTGATGATACATATGTGAGTTTAAAGTTGATTTTGACAGCCCGGGCCAAGTCGGACCGAACACTTGTGTGACTGTTGAGAGTATAGGGAGAAGAGGTCTACTTTTACCAACGTGTCTGCTTTAAATACGACGATCAGTGACATTATAAAGTGGTATTTACTTAGATATAGTACGTTCCTATAAATATAAACGCATGTCGACAGGTGGAAATTTGTATCACGATAGCTAGAAGTATTTGATACGTTTCAAATCTTATTTCGTTTAACGATTGCTCTTTTACATGTTACCAAGATCAGCGACGCTTACACACAGCTCCACTTTCTGGTTTTCAAACGATTTACTCCGAATTACTTATTTATGGTGCACTTTTTTGTTTGGTGATTGTTCATTAATGTCATGTGTGTATGTTGCATCAATTATATGTAGGTATGATCGCCGATAATGAAGTAATTAGCCAGTAACACTTTGGCCCGTCTTGGCCCGGCCCGGCCCGACTTTTAGGCAATGCCGTCGTCAGCCTTCTGGAAGTTGAGAACTGTAACAAGTCTATAAGCAAGCTCCTCACAACGGTACAAAGGTGTCAGCGCTCGGAGTGAGTGAGTGACACTAGGAGATTTAACGTGCGCTTTCAGACTAATAGCGTATTTCGCACACGGGGAAGCACTTTATCCTATTGGGAGAAAAAGAAGCGTAATGAATAAATAAGAAGTGCGACCCCAAAAAATGTAACTTTTACAGATCTGATTTAATAAAGCTGCGGGGGGAGGGGGTTTGGCTGGGTGGGGGGGGGGGGGGGGGGGGGGGGGGTAGTGAAAAAATATTCAATAATATGGAAAAGTTTGGGCGTGGGTTGGAGGGGAGGGGGTCAAGCGTGGGAAGGCACGGCGTCGGCGGGCGAGCATGGTGCTTAGCGACGAGATCCTCCCAGGAGTCTCTTCGCAAGGGCCTCATCCTTGGGGATGGGCGACTTGAAGAGGTTCTTGGTGAGGAGGGCGGCTGAGTGGGCGACGAAGTGCTTGTTAGTCTTCATGTCGCAGTCCATGAGGAAGTGGGAGAGATCTTGATACTTGAAGATCTCGTGGTCGAAACACTCCGCACCTATCATATGGATCATCCTGAGGGGGGCGTCGGTGTTGACGTTGTTGGTGGAGAGCTCTTGCCCGTTGTTGCAGAGGTGGGTTGCATCTGGCATGCCGGGAGCCCTGTAGTGTCTGATGATGTTGTTAGCCTTCTCTAGTAGTGCGGCTCTGAGGCTGGAATCCTCGACCTGGACCGGGGTGGTCTGGGTCTGGACGTCACTAAGAGAGGGGGGCTCTGGTTGATCGGTCTGGATTCCGCTGTCACTCATGGTGGGCGACTGGGTCTGGCTTTCCGTGGACACAGTGATGGGAGGAGGGCGGGAGGCAGGTTCGGGTGAGGGGATTTCTCTCCTCTTCCTCTTCTTTCTCCCGTGGTGAGCGGAAGGGCTCCTCCCCTCTGGAGTCGAGGGGAACGAGGTCCAACGCAGCTACCGGGGGTGGCGGGGTGGTGGGGAGGGAAGTCTCTATCTCCATGTCGAGGACTGGAGGAGGGAGCTTCTTTACCCGTGGGAGCCCCTTCTTCTGCGCCGGGCGGGGAGCAGGAGGTTTAGGGGCTGGGGCTCGGGCCACCTGAGGCTTGGTCTTAGCCGGGGCTTTGACCAGAGGTCTCTTCCTCTGACCTAGGTCGAAGGAGATGGAGAGCGTGGAGGTGTTGGACTTGTAGGAAGTCCTGAGGGAGTAGTCCCCAACCCGGCAGGCCAGCAAGGGCTCCAGGATGGAGACAAGCTCCCTCGGTAACGACATTGAGAGGTCTCTCATTGTCAGCTTGGTGGTTTGGAGAGCTTGGGAGGACGTGTGCGCGGGGCGAGAGTCCAAGCCAAGATGACGGACGGAGTTTGGAATATTAATAGCGGCAAGGTCCATGTTGCTGCCACTGTTCAACATTGTACGAGCCCTTCAATCAGTGTGCTGCCATTTACAATCAATAATACTGCTATGTAACAATTCAAACATCGTTCTGTCCTGTTCAATTTATTTGGGGAGATCACGCATCCAAACATTTACCAAGTCCGTCTATGGTGGCTCACTATTTTATGTTATCTCATGATACTTAACATTTTTTAGTTTAAAAGTCCAGTTAAAGTTTAATAATGTATATAGTTTAAGTAGTTGTCTCCAGATGATTATCTGCAACGCTGACACAAATTAGTTCAGTATCTGTTCCCTAAACTTCAGCCATGTTGATTAAGTGTCACTTGCAAATTAATATACACCTTGTTGTGGTTATTCTACTCGTTAATTCCCTGAAGCGGTGGTGAAGTTAATTTCAGTAAAATGATCAAAGTCTGTTTATTGGCAAAGGAAATCAACTTGATAGGGTCAAACAGATCTGATATAAGTACTAAACAAATAATATTTTTGTGTAAGGCCGCCTGATATAGCTGGAATATTGCGACATTACACAACAAACAAACATATCTAAAATAGATTTAGCTCTGTATTGTAATTATTTTATTTTATACTATATACATAATTAGGTGGGTGAGGTGAAATGGGGTTTAACGCCGCCTCGTTCAAGATAATTGCACTTGTGTAGCGACGTTCATGCACGTGTGTATACATAATTACAACAATCTAGCACTGCAACAATTGTGTTCATTTGGTTTTGAAATAATATACACTAGATGGAGAATAACTGACACATATATGAACATTAACAACATTTGGTTCCGTTTTATAATACAATTATTGTCAAGTATGCAACCAAGCAAAGAAAGCACAGTTAACAGTTTACCTCGCCAATGCCATGTGCGGACCGGAATGGTCAGGAGGACCCCAACTTTATTCAACAATCAAGAGTTGGTTGATGGAGCCACCAATAGAAACAATATTGTTAAAGAGTAAGTGAGTGTGGCTTTATGCCGCTTTTAGCAATATTCCAGCAAGATCACGGTGCAGGACATCAGAAATGAGCTTCACACATTGTACCCATGAGGTACCCTGAGGAGGAAGGCTTCAACAACTAGGCTACTAGGATAAGTATTAGTATCACGAGTACATAATGTAAAATGTTTAGCGACACTATATATATATTTATTGAACATGACTGTGTGTAACCACTGATATCAACTTTATAATTCCGAATTCCATTCAAAAGTACGAAAGGCTTCTTCCATGTGCAACATTTCAGCTCCATCCTTGCTAAGGCATTGACACAAGTATGGGACCTATTTAATACAATTGCAAAAAGAAATTCAAATATCCAAGAACGTTCTACAAATTGGAAAAAATGTTTTACAATGTACACATATGATAAAATAATAAGAGCTGTTAGTGTCGAAGATATTAATGCTTGTATGTTGTTAATTTCGAATGAAAACGTGAAAAAAACAATCAAATATAGAATCCAGCCGATCCTTGTTTGAATACCCCAAAAAATATTGGTTTAAAAAATTCAACAAATTATATTTGTGGTTTCGTCATTTTATGAAAAATGCCTAAGAACAAACGATCAATTTAAAATTTTGATTCAGCATGCGCAATGACACTGACACTAGACTTGTGTTGACTTGTTTCCACTCGAAACCGTGTCATTAACCTATTAACAGTGAGGTGTTTTTGCACAAAGTTGGGATTTTTTGCATGATAACAAAACGTTTTAACTATTGCATAACACACAGACATGCACGCAGACATATACACATAATATTCAAAGTAACGTCCCCTCAGACAATTTATTAACACTTTTTATATTTTAGATACAATTCTGCACACTCCATTCTGGGTAAACCTCGTTTCCGAGGGGTCCGTAGCATCCTCCCAGCGCGGCATCCACATACGGGGAATCCAGGCTGACTTAGTAGGGTAGTAGTTCTCGAACACCTGCCTGTAGTAAAACGCTTCCTTCGTCCTGGGTGTGTTGAAGGGGAAGAGGGACGCTGCCTGTTCCATCTGGTCATCATTGATCTGAAACAGTGGGTCGAGATTTTACTTTTATTTAACACCAGCGTCACCTTTCATCAGACCTTAATACATATAGTACAGTGAGTGGCCATATTATAACGTACAAGCATGGCCGCCGACGTGATCGGCGTGTAGACAGGTCCGAAATCTATAACGAGATGGAATAATATATATAATGTTTCTTCCTTTTTTAAAAATGCATATTTGTTGCTTATACCTAAATTGTTTCAATATATGCTTGGAAATTGTCCTGTAGAATCCCTGATGTATTTCAAGGCTCTGTTTGCCAGATTCTCGAATCTCCCGCTCCAGTTCAGCTGCATTTCTTATGCCCCTGAAGCTTGTTTTCAATGGTAGTGGCATCTGGAGATTGTCCCGGACATATCTCTGCCTAATAGTTTTTAAGGAGAGAGGCAGGTTTCTATTTTCATTGAATATTTCTGTAATATTTTCTAAATGTGGAGTTCGGTTTCACTTAACCTGCTCTCAGAGTCACGAAACAGTCACGATCATCACACATCCAGTTCGAGGTGTATTTTCAATGCATGCTATTTGGGATAGTGCCATTTCAATGTGTCTATTTGTAAATTTGTCAATTTGGGCTTAATAGCCAAGGACCTCTGGCTTTATCTCTGTTTATCTTCAGTTATTCATTCACAACTTATTTTGCTTTGCAAAGGAACTCTGGTTCTATGGACTTTTTTTCAGTTCTTCCCTTAATTTAAAATTGCTGTTTATTCTGGTGGTAAACTTTCATCCAAATTGCTTTGATGATGACATGAAAAGCTAACAGTACAGCTTGGATGAAGAAGCAGTTGGCAGTTTGAAGGAAATATAAGGAGAAACCTTCATCCAATCGTCAAGAAAGTCTAGTAAGTATTCATCTTTAGTGCTGTCCCAAAGTGGACCCTGGTTTAAAGTTGCAATCACCCTCAGCCTCGGCCTTCTCTGTTGCTGGACACGTGGTCAATGGATTTTGGAGTAGATACGTTAGCTTACTCTACACCTGATACTCCAGTGCTCTGGTATTCAATGAATTGGGGCATCAATAATCCAGACGAAGAGCACACCTATCACAATTACTAGTGTGCAGGTGCCCTAATCCCACTTCAGTATTGAGTGAGAAGGCCCCCAAACTGCCTCCCCCCTATTGCTCTGGATATGGACCTGATCTCTGCCATCAACAAGAAAACAGATGTAACGCCAGCCTCCCGTGGCAACCACAAACATTACTTTTTCATTCATTCAGATTTTGTCATATTTGCCATGTGCGTCCTAGCAGTACACATCTTGTGAATACACTCACAAACACTGGCAAATCGAATCTCGAATATTAGTCTGGCATGGGCACCTGAAAGTCAGCTTATGATTGGACAATATGGAAACGATTCCGAAATCTCTTGTAACATAAACATATGGAGGCGTATGTGTTATAATATACATGAACTGAAGATACCCGCTTATATCCTCATTGAATAGAAGGCGTCTGTGGGGATCCGTGGTAATGGTTCTAAGCCTTTGATCACCGATTCTTGAATAATCTCAATCAGGGGATGTTTGGCATCTAAGCCTCCACAAGATGTCTTTGCCTCAGGAAGATGAGGCCAACGTAATCCCATCTCACTCGATAAACTCACCTGCTCATCACAGAAATATTGGGTGACCTCATAAAGGGATCTCTTGACAGCCGATACTCCATCGCTGAAGGGTTCCTTGGGCCTCCACAAGATGTCCTTGGGTAGGAGGTTCATCTCACCGAAGGCTGACCGGAGTAGGTACTTCTCCACCCCCTTCTGAGGGACGCGGTCCTCGTTGGGGAGGGACAAGTAGTAGCTGGTGAACTGATGGTCAAGGAAGGGGACCCGGATCTCCAGTCTATAGGATAGGCATTAGTCTCGGAATTTTCATAGATATTAGTATGTAAACTCTTGGTGCTGAAACACTCATTTAATATTTTAAAAGTATTTACTTTCTCAAATGACGTAACCCCCTCTACTGGATTATCCAAAACATAACATTTACTGATTATCATTTAATGTATGTGATTTACTGAATTCAGTGAAGTCATTGAAGATGTGTGATGATGTAGATTCTCTCTCAGCTTTAGCAGGGTGAATTGGATTCGTGTTTTAAAAAAAAAACACGCCATATATGCTGAAGTTTCCACCCGAAACCAATCCCTATGTTCATTAACTACAAATATCTAGTGCCTGTCCCGGATTGTATGTCAACTTACCCCCAAGCTGCCGTGGCCCTGTCCCCTCTCAGCACGTCGTACATGTGGATGTCTTTCAGTAGTCTCCGACTCTCCTGGTCCGCGGCCTCAGCTGATGGAGCTTTATGGAAGTGGTTGTATCCCTGGGCCAGCTCGTCAGACCCCTCCCCGGACAGGATGACCACGGTGTCTGTGTTCTCTTTGATGTACTTGCTGACAAGGTATAAACCTGGAAATGAGACATGACACATGACATCGTTTTAAAAATTTGGTACCTTTGTGGAAGAGCATTGACTCGTGGGTAGTTAAGGTAGATATTACCAGGCTAGTACATGAAAAGTGGAGACAATAAACTCAAATTGGGCAGTAAAACTGCCTGAGATCAGACACTACACGGTAATGTAGCTATCTCGCCTTCATACCAAATAAACATATAATAATGTCTGCGAAATTAAGAGGATTAAAGTTACAGATATAAAAGTATTACCACGTGAAACTGACACTAAGAATGGCCATTTCAACATGATATTGATAATATGTGATTATTTCTCCTTTTGTCTTATCGAAAATTACATTCGAATGCTAGAAGTTTTACCAGTTCAGCATGTACCAGTAACCATACACACCTATTGAAGATCTGATGGTTGAACCGTCATATGTTTCAGTGTGGCGAATTACTTCATTTATAACACTGCAGGCGTCTTGGGGTGTGAATTTAATTTCATGATGTTCAGTGTTCAAATGTTTCGCAACCTGCATCAAAACAAATACAAAGATCAAGTGAAAGTTTAAATAAGTTGTCAATAGCATCCATTCTTATTAAATGTTCATCGTCAGTCGAGTTCATTTTTCTATCATTTGCCTTATGGGGTATTCACAAAGGCAAGTCAATTGCTCACCTGAAAAAAACACGGTAACATATGGTCAAAATTGGGAACTGCATAAAACATCATTTTTATCACCGATGCGCCAAAAGTGGACTTGAATGTTACCTTCAATAAATACCTTCAGCTCTTTGAAATTTCTTTGAATGTAGACACAAGGGCTGGAGCTGCAGGAATATTGCTCTACAAAAAGGGAAAGTAATGTAATGCTCCATGACTTGCCTTCCTGGCTGCTATGAGATCTGTACTCCCCTCCCAGCCAATAGAGGAGTTCTGTATGGATTATGTAATGCTTCAAGACAATAATCTTCGACGCGACGTTAAATCCAATTTCACCTCACCTCACCTTAAGTTCTGCTTCAAGACTCACTTTCCTGGCCGCCATGATAGCGGTGCCCCCCGCCATGCCAATAGAGAAGGTCTGTATGGGGTAAGGTGATGCTTCAAGACTCACCTTCTTGGCCGCCATGATAGCGGTGCCCCCCGCCATGCCAATAGAGAAGGTCTGTATGGGGTAATGTGATGCTTCAAGACTCACCTTCCTGGCCGCCATGATAGCGGTGCCCCCCCGCCATGCCAATAGAGAAGGTCTGTATCGGGTTATGTTATGCTAACGTCGCTATATAAGTACAATAATCTTCGACGCGACGTTAAATCCAATTTCACCTCACCTCACCTTAAGTTCTGCTTCAAGACTCACCTTCCTGGCTGCCATGATATCTGTACTCCCCTCCATGCCAATAGAGAAGGTCTGGATGGGGTAGGACAGCTTCTGTTCCTTGGCATTCTTCACCATCAACGCTGTTACCAGACTCGAGTCGAGACCCCCTTGGGGATGATAAGCTTTTAGTGTATACTTTCGAAGAAATAGCTATCCAGCAAATACCGACATAACTTTTCTTAGAAGGATTTAGATGGTAGAGGTTGTGATACTATCCTTTTACTTTGAGGTCAGTTTGACCTTGGTATTCTTAGAACTTCCCAATAGGAAAGCAGTATCTTTTCAATATTTTCAATATAAACTATACTCTTGCACTCACATGTTGCAATCATAGACAGACTCACCTGACAATAGACAACCAATCCTTCTGTCGGCCATTAGACGTTTCTTCACTGCGGTTTCTAACAGTACCCGGATGTTCTCAGCCACATCACTTCCTGTAGAAATTTAGCTTCCATTAACAATATAAGAAATTGTGCATAGAATCGTTTTGTAGACTACACTGAGCATAAACATGACTTTGATTCAATAAATGCACACAACTGAAACACAAAGTGCCCCTTACCTAGTGAGTCGGAGTCTACAGGTGTTTTATACAGGGGCATGTCGCCAATAGAATGGAACTGTCTCTTCTCCCGGAACGTGGCTCGTCCGTTGTTGTCGAGGTCGTACTGTTCCACTGTACCGGGTGCGACGGGCACGATGTCAGCCGCCTCGTCAGTTAGGCCGTGACTCAAACCAAATAAGCCTGTATGTGTAATGTGAGTGAGATATTATTGTTTTACAGTATTTCAGTTGTAATTTATTGTAGCATATGAGGCCGTGCGTGTGTGTGTGTGTGTGTGTGTGTGTGTGTGTGTGTGTGTGTGTGTGTGTGTGTGTGTGTGTGTGTGTGTGTGTGTGTGTGTGTGTGTGTGTGTGTGTGTGTGTGTGTGTGTGTGTGTTGGGGGTGGGAGGTGGGGCAATCCCAATTTACCACACATTGTGTGCCTATTCTTGTGATTCGGTGCTGACAGACTATGAATCGTAATCCAGTTGGATCTAAAATGTAACCCACGGACTCCTAAGGCTGTCGTAGACCTGTACCGCCAAGACATCACAAGGATGTGTGTGTATAAGAATTGACTGTCAACCAGTCAGCGCAACTTGCTTTCCATACAACATATTTTATGTCATACATCTGAATATGCAACAAGGGAAAGCAAAGGTAACACATGATCATTCTGAAAATGTGCTACCCCTTATTCAATATGTTCCATCTTGAATATCATAACGTCTTGCTCTAGGTTCTATGGTGTCTCCATTTACAACTGTATAGTAGAAAAGTGTTGTATTTCAATGTACAGTTTTAACATCTATATACTTTCACTTTGAATGATGTTATGGGGCACCTTGAGCATATATGCCAGAATAGGATGGTTTAACATCTGACCTTTAGCCTCTGAGCACACAGCTAGGAAGCCATTGTCTGTGAAAAGCTTGAAGCAGGGGCGGACTCCAAACGTGTCCCGACCAATGAAGACCTTTCTGTTTGCTGTGTCGAGGAGACAGAAGGCGAACACGCCATCCAAGTGGGAGGGGAAATCAATGCCATATTTGGCGTACAGATGAATGATTGGTTCTCCATCGCAGTCTGTGTTCAGATGAAATCCATATTCTTTCGCTACCTGTTGGAATATCCATCTAGTCGTTAAAGTGGGTAATGGATTTGGTGCAAAATTGAGTAATCTGTTAATTATTGTCTGTATGTTTGACTGGAATAACATAAATAGACCCAGGACATATCACATGATAATTATAAATATACCGACGTACTGATTTATAGTTGTAGATCTCCCCGTTGTATATCAGCCATATGTGAGGATGGGTGTACAGTCTCATTGGCTGCATCCCTCTGACGTCATCAACGATAGCCAATCGGTGGAAGCCGAGACAACAGTTCTGGAGGTGGTTGATGTTTTCTACCCTGAAGGCGTCTGGTCCACGATGTGCGACCTTGTGGGCAGCTTTACACTGCACGGAGACATGTACATCACTACCGAACACGGCCCAGATCCCACACATGGTGATACAGTCACACGCCCCAAGGAGATGGCACTTGCCCTGTTATAAAAAAAACAGATAGAGGTTTTATTTGATTCGAGTTGGTGATACGATAGAAATATGGACAAAAAAGTAAACCCATGAAAAATCGTTATCTATTAATATATTTAACATTCCACCCAATATGTTTAGCTTGTAGTTTGTTCCTTATCAAACAATAGCAATCTACATATATTGGTATAATATGTATTGTTACGAGCATTGTTCCAACACAGAAATCGGTTTGTACAGCTTAAATATGATTGACAAGATTCAGGAAAAACGTGGCAAATATGCGGACCTCGCTTTCGAAATGTCACGCTTGCATCCCAAGTACCAAGTTGTCCGACTCCCCATTGTTCTCAGTGCCTTAGGTTTGGTACCTCCCAATCAGTTGACTGGCATTGGGAGAGTACCCGGGTTTGCTACCAGGAATACAGCCCTTCTGACAATCTGGGTAATGTAGAAGGCTGCAGTATTGGAGAGTTTCACATTCTCCGAAAAGTTCTGGGTGGGTTTGACTAGGCAGCGTTTCCTGGGAGAAGTCCCATTCGCTGTCTGGGCTGCGTGTAGACGGGGCAAGGGCCCTGAGCTGATGATGAGTCAAAGCAGCCTGACTGTGCCAGCATCACCAAATCCCTCTTTGCTGTTTTTTTAATTTTAATCTGTAATCTGTAATAATACAAATATTAAAAAACAGTGGTGTTGAACCAGCTGGTTAATTGAATGGGCGATGTATATTACTTACTGTTAACCAACTATTACAAACTATAATATACTCAACAACAAAGGTTCCTGTGACACCAATATTTTAGTGTATTTTTCAAACAAGTAAAGTTTGGTTTTCAATATTGTAGTACATGTATGAAATCAAGTCACAAAAACGCAAATGCTTCAGAAAAGCATGCAGTCCATGTAAAAGTTGACTTTTATGTAAGCCCCATGCATTTCACTCCTCAAGAATGGGTATAAAAACATGTGCGTTAACGGGATTCCATATGCATTGTTCAGAATCGTGCTCACAACAACCACTCAGAAATACAACAAAATTACGCAATTATTCAATGCCACGACTGTCCGAAAATGAGCGTCTGCGAGCCATTGGTTTGCTTGAAGCAGGATCGAGTCAACGTGATGTTGCAAGACAATTTAACGTCCACAGAAACACCATTTGGCACCGTTGGCAACTGACGAATGCAGTCAGAGACCATCCTCGGAGTGGCAGGCCACGCGTAACCAATAATCGACAAGACAACTGGATCCGAACAACACACCTACGAAATCGATTCCAGCCAGCAACAGTGACTGCAAGAAGCATCCCTGGCCTTCCGTACGTCTTCAGATGTGCAGGGATTGTCGCCAGAAGACCCGCCAGACGTCTCATTTTGACAGGAAACCACCGTCAAGCACGTCTACAGTGGTGCAGACAGCGTCTACGCTGGACGGCCATGCAGTGGGGACAAGTTCGTCCATGTGTATGATATATGTACTTTTTCAGCTTGATATTTTAAACTGCGAAATGTAGGGAACGTCAAACTCAAAATATCAACCGAAACAGATTCCATAGGCAAACTAGTGATTGAATGCATATTTGAATGGATCACTGAAACACGGGAACATCATTTTGGTCAAATTTGGAAATGTCTACCATAAAACGTTTTCAAAGTTTTACTAAGCCATGAATACTATAACCCTGATGAAACACTCCATGAACACTCCATATAAAGGTTACAATAATAGGCAAGCGTCACGCATTATATTCGCAAGCAACTTGTCACATTTAATACATTCATCTGAATGTCTACAATATTGTGTGTGGAATGACTTAATCATACCTTCGAAGGTAAGTCCTTTATTGAAAAACATTATTTTAAGCAGAATGTGTCTTTCCTTGACATTTAATACAACATACATTTTCTCCTGTAAAGTAAGTGCCAGTGTGCCAGGAAGTATGAAAACCAACACACACACACGTTGTAACACACACACACACGTTGTAACACACACACACGTTGTAAAACACACACACACGTAACACACACACACGTTGTAACACACACACACACGTTGTAACACACACACACGTTGTAACACACACACACACGTTGTAACACACACACGTTGTAACACACACACACGTTGTAACACAGACACACACACGTTGTAACACACACACACACGTTGTAACACACACACACACGTTGTAACACACACACACACACGTTTTAACACACACACACACGTTGTAACACACACACACACACGTTGTAACACAGACACAAACACGTTGAAACACACACACACATCCACATTATTACAGAGAAGTAATACAGCTGCCTACCTTGATAGTAGAAGACTGGAACAATGAGACACACAGAAAACACCACAACGACGGCAGCACACACACACACGTAACACACACACGTTGTAACACACACACACGTTGTAACACACACACACATTGTAGCACACACACACGTTGTAACACACACACGTTGTAACACACACACACGTTGTAACACACACACACGTTGTAACTAACACACACACATTGTAACACACACACACGTTGTAACACACACACACATTGTAGCACACACACACGTTGTAACACACACACGTTGTAACACACACACACACGTTGTAACACACACACACGTTGTAACTAACACACACACATTGTAACACACACACACGTTGTAACACACACACACGTTGTAACACAGACACAAACACGTTGTAACACAAACAAACACGTTGTAACACACACACACGTTGTAACACACACACACGTTGTAACTAACACACACACATTGTAACACACACACACGTTGTAACACACACACACGTTGTAACACAGACACAAACACGTTGTAACACAAACAAACACGTTGTAACACAAACAAACACGTTGTAACACACACACACACGTTGAAACACACACACACACGTTGTAACACAGACACACACACACACACGATATAACACACACAAACACACACACACACACAAAACAAACACACACACACATCCACAGTATTACAGAGAAGTAATACAGCTGCCTACCTTGATAGTAGAAGACTGGAACAATGAGACACACAGAAAACACCACAACGACTGCAGCCTGTCACGTTGCACATTCGTGTGACCAATACATGAATACACGTGTATATATTTCGTTTCTTAACCAAATAGAGCCGAAAAAAAGAGCTGTTATCATGAATTTAATCTATCCCTGCATCTAGAAACCAATTAATCTATCGCTTATTACTTTCGCACACTCAATCTTACTTATTTCAGTCCTCACTCATTCTCTTTCACGTTTGCACTCTCCCAGTTTATAACATCTATATTATCCCAACCCTCAACCACTCATCCACAACCACTTTCACAATCACAAACACTGCATACAGAGGATTTCAACCCTAAAAACTTTGTTCGTATATGATATATTTCTTGATCATGTTTTTCACATATGAATGCGTTCAATTTTATTTAATTAATCAACTTTAGCTTTTATCTCGTGGAGGTAAGCATAGTTATAATTCGTGTGTATGTGTTGCAGGTTGTCCTAACCTATCCGCCACAACAAAAGTATGACGATGACATGACGCCATTTGGAAGATTAACAGTATTAAAGTGTATGATTTTACCCACGTTAAACCATCTTTTTACAGCACTTCCTGATCCTAAAACAGATAAAATAACTAATTTTCAACGCAAGAGTGCTTCTCATTTATTTGGAAGGGTAAACCCGACAAGATTAAAAGAAATATAATGATAAAAGAATACAACGATGGTGGGCTTAGAGTACAATTGATCTTAGAAACAATAGTAACACAAAAATATCAGGGATAAGAAGAAATTACACTGAAAACACAAATCTCAAACATCTAATATCATCTCTATATATATATTCCTAATTACACTTTGCAGCCACAGATATGGGATCAAATTAATCGAAAAATAACGTTTTACATACGATCAGAAATCCCTTTTGGAAAGAGGTATTGGAATCCTGGTCAAAATACTAGTCATTTAAACAAACAGAATGTGGAGATATTCGCACACAATATATATGGACAACTGATAATATCAAAATAGAAAATAAATCATTTTTTATAAAAGCACTATTTAAAAGCAAATGTGAAATTTGTCAACGATTGTCTGAAATACGATGGTACATCTTTTAGTAATGATGAATTCACTGAACTGAAAAAACTGCAGGTTTGATTGCAGCAAAAAGAGCGTACGCACATACCAAATCGAGATCACTTGAAAAGCATGTAGAAATGTTCTCTATTCCTCAAAATTTAGAGACATTATATAAGGAATACACAGGGTGCAAGGTAGCTTTTTTCAAATTTAGCAACTAATCTAAATGTATGGCAGTGAAATAAAATAGGGAAATGCACACTAGTAATTGTGATAGGTGTGCTCTTCGTCTGGATTATTGATGCCCCAATTCATTGAATACCAGAGCACTGGAGTATCAGGTGTAGAGTAAGCTAACGTATCCTCTCCAAAATCCATTGACCACGTGTCCAGCAACAGAGAAGGCCGAGGCTGAGGTTGATTGCAACTTTAAACCAGGGTCCACTTTGGGACAGCACTAAAGATGAATACTTACTAGACCTCCTTGACAGAGCGTAACTCCTGGATAAAAGCCGAACCATTGGATTAAGGCTTCTCCTTATCTTTCCATCTAACTGCCAACTGCTTCTTCGTATGGCAAGCCGTTTTCACATTTATTACAGAATTACAGATATCTTTAATTGTTTTAAAGATATCGGTATTTTATTTAGAGATATCAATAATGTTTTTAAGATATCAAAAAATAATTAAAGATATCTTAAATTCATTTCTGATATCCATAATAAAATTACTGATATCTTAAAATGTTACGGTGATATCAGCAAATTAGTTTGTGATATCTCTAAATGTATTTAAGATATCATTAAACAATTACCATCCTGCAGTACATAAATATATTAGAAAAAAATTCAAGATATCTTTAATTCAATTCAAGATATCTTGAAATAAGTTATACATATCCACAAATGCATTACAGATATCTTTAATTCAATTAGAGATATCTTTCATTCGATTAGAGATATCTTAAATTCAATTCAAGATATCATTAATTCTGACCGTTACTGATATCAAACATTCAATTAAAGATATCATTAATACTTTTGATGATATCTTTATATCAATTATTGATATCAGTTATCTAATTTAAGTAACATTATTAATGTTACATCTTTAATAATGGCAACAATTGAAGATATCAATAATTAATTATTTAAATCTGTATTTAGTTTCAAGATATCAGGAATTG